TTAAGTTCAGTTAGGGATACTTCCATTAGCATATCTATGATGAAGTTAAACAGAAATGGGGAAAGTGGACATCTCTGACGGACACCAGCTTACTCACCTGCTTATTAACTTATTTATTCACATACTTATCTGCATACTTACTTACCTATTCATCCACTCACTTATCTACCTACCTACTCAATTACTCACTTACCAGCTTACTCACTAACTTCCTTACCTAAGTATTTACTTAGCTACTTACCTATTGACTTACTTACCTACTTATACCCCTAATTACTAACTTACTCGTTTACTCTCTTGTTTACTCACTCACTTATGTACTTGCTCACTTAAGTACCTTACAAATGCACTTACTTACATACCTATTTACTTAGTATGGTAGTGAATTACTTACTAAAGTATTTATCTACACATAAATAATACTAGTAAGCATAAATAAATTACTACGTGTGTATCATACTGTATTTATCACAAGATCTTTTTTTATTAGCGTGTGACTAGGTCAAATGATCAGAAGAAGACTTACTTAAAATGAAAGGCAATTTCTTATTTTTTTAATATGCTTTTCATTTATTTTTTTTTTTGAATTATTTTTATAATGAAAATATGAGTATTTTTTTTCTTAAAGAGTGAATTCTTCTTCAAATGCTTGGTATGTGTATCTTGTTTACCTCTGCCATATATATATATGGTTTGCAAGTTAGAGCCAAAAAAATTTCTCAGTAGTCATCTAAAGAGTTTAGAAAATGTTCAAGTGATGATATGTAAGTAGACTTGTAAAATTGACAAAAAAACTCTACACAAGTGTGAGCATTAAAGATTTGTACTACTCAAAGGTTAGTAAAAATTAGGCGACAATAAAGTTTTCGTGACCAACATAACGCTGTCTTTATTAGTCCAAATAACAGGTATGTTTATGTATATAATGAGAAGTCTTCAATCCTATTGTATTTAATGATTAAGCAAGAAAGTTCAGACACTTTGTAGTAGTCGTAGGTGGGGTAAACAGATGGCCTTTTTAGACCTTGTGAATTCACTTTTAATCAATAAAATATGAAAATCAAAGTATTAGAAGAAAAGCGCTGAAGGTTATCTATACTACTGGATTTCTTCATTTAAATAAAAGACAACTAGAGCGACTCAGATAAGTCCTCAATGAGAATCTATATCCTCCACGATTTACCGAGAAAAACATGAAGTTAAAGTAAAAGCCTGAAAGAGCCCAGAGAGTGCCAAAGAAACTGCCATTTATGAGTGTTGAATTTAAAGGTGATACCACAAAGCTGAGATCCTGAAGAATCGCTTATGCAGATCACTGAGGAAAGCCTTCAGATCAATTTATACAGCCGATAAATGATCAATGGATGTGTGAAGGACAAATTACCGCCACTTTGGGTGACTTCAGTGTGTGTTTATAAATTCACCTGCTCGTGTGGAGTTAGTTATATTGGCTGCACAACTAGGCGCACAATTTCCAAACGCATCTCTCAACATTATGTGGCATAGTTAACAAAAGGACAGTGCAAGACAATTAATAGCTCAATTCTCGAGCAATTGGTGAATTCAGGCCACGTAGCTCCACCAGAGTCGTCTTTCAAGATCACCTACAGGGTATGGCCGAATTTTACAAAGAGTGTCAGGTTTGTGTGTGGCAGAGGCGCTGGCAATTCGTCAAAACAACAACCCCGAACTCTGTATACAGAAAAAGTCTGTCCAGTCTATTATTCTACCTTCGTCTTAATCTCTTCACTAGTCGTCCTCTCTAAAACATTTTCAATTCTACTATTAGTTTGGTTTTACTTTAATAATTAATTCACTATTATCACTCTCATATGTTCCTTTTGCACATCTTCACACTTGTTAAATTGACACTCAACTACCTTTAACCTTATCAAATTTCTAACCCTTTCTTCCTTTGTGCTGTTGAGCATTACGTATTTTATAACTCTTACTCAAAAATAGACTACTATATATTTTTTGGTTAATATAAATACGACTGTACAACCTCTGAAGACAATTCCGTCGAAATTGGAAATTTTCCTCACCGAATTTGTCTTTTATTTTCTTTTTAGTGATTTCTCCATTTTTCCGCTTAAACACCCGCCATTCAAGTGAGCAGATTAAAACAAGCGAAACAGAAGTGATATTTCAAGAAAAGAAAATGGAATTCACTTTTGTGAAAGAACTTTGGATGTAGTTAAACGGACATGACCAGTAAAATGTTGGTGAGAAGAAAGCATGATAACATTAAAAGTAGTAGATATAGTAATACTAGTGTAAAATACTCGGTAGGATTACATAGTTCGATTGGATGACATGAAATAAAGCACTGTTGCAAATACACGCTGAACAGGCTAACTGGCAAGGCAAAGCCAAACATTTAGGCATATTAATATAATAATGATACCAGAATGAAGTGAAGTGAAAAACGCAATATCACACTGAAGCTTTTCTCTTCTCTGGGCTTACTACTGTTTAGGTTTAGGATTGAGTAGAGCCGTGGATCAAACCTGAACTCCTCATGTAGCTGGCGAATATTCTACTACTGAAATATCAACGTATAAACCCCAGGATAATGGATAGCTATTTCTTCCCAGTTTGAGACTCTTCAGCAGTGCGCATTCATGACCCTACAACCTATCATCGAACCCATGACCTGCCCATTGACCATTCTGCCACTAGATTACATAATAAGATATAATTACTGAACAGGTGTTAATTCCGTGCCATTGAAGACGAATACGGTCACTTTAACGTGGATTATCCTAAATGACCACCAATATACTCCTCATACATAATTCAGTTCCGTTTAAATTTACACCCACCATAGAATGAATCTGTACTTAATATGATGAAACAAAAATGGACAGGGAAAGTGAGCACCATTACATTTACTTGACATCTAATTGTACCAAAATGTGGAGGCGGATAACTTGTCATACACGCGATATGTCAGTTTTGTCATAGAAACATGCAAAAAGCAATACACAGAGACTAATGTTTATATGTGAACTGAATACTATTTTATAAAACTTATTCAACAGCTACATGATGATCCCATGTGTCAAGTGATTTACACTATGCGTCGGTGGCACAGTGATTAGGACTCTCGCTGACCATGCACATGGTCGGGGGTTCAATGCCCTGCCGACGCACACCCGATATCACTGGTCAGCCTGCTAAATTTGGGCTACCGATATCACATGCTGAAAATTCCATACTTGTATCAAAATACGGTATGGAATCAAGCTATAATCAAAACAAAACAAAAAACTCAGCAATGTGTTTGATCTGAAGAGAAGGAGTAAGACAAGGTTGTATACTATCACCGATGATATTCCTAACTCTGGTGGACTGGATCATGTGATAGACTGTGCGTGAGGTGCGAGAAGACTTCATACGATTGACCAGTAAGAAGATGCTGTTATATCTTGACTTATATCTAATGTCACACAAGCTCGAAGACTTTCAGGCGAAAACCAACAAACTCGTAGAAGAAGCAACGAAGACAGGACTTCAAGTGAACACTAAGATGATACAGAGGTGATGAAGATGTCCAAAAACATACAACAACAAACATCAGTTACAAGTGATGAGAGAAATCTAATCAAAGGTGTGTCCTTCAGTCATCTGATTCAAGCAGCACCATATCAAATTTAGGTTGTGGCATGGATGACACACTATCAAATCCTCAGAGGATGCGATTAGGATAGCAATACAAACCATCATTACTGTGAAATCAGTCTGGAAATCTAGTGAGCTCAGCACAAGAAAAAAATAAAGATTCGCATTTTTCAACACTAATGTCTATTCAGTCAGCGCTTCTGTATAAGTTGAAATACTTGATGTTCGCTTGGCAGAAAGCATTCCCAACAGGCGATTGCCTGCAGAATTTCATCAACAGCCGCCTTTGTTCTATACCAAAAATAAGGTGTCAAGTCAAAGAGGATAGGCGAAAAGGAAGTGTGACAATGAACCAATCAAGGATATATAGTCCAACAATTATACCGCAAAAAGTGGAGATGGATCGAATACTCACTAAGGCGACCGTTGAGTAATATCACGCACCAGGCACAACCTCTAGTGAAACCCAAATGGGAAACGCCCATTTGGGTGTCCAACCAGGGGTAAACATGAAAGACATCATATGAGGAGGAAATCAGAGCTTATGGGGTAAAAAGTCTTCAGAGAAAATAGTGATGCGAAAAGTGCTGTTGAAGACCTATGTTCCACTAGGAACCCAAGGGAAAAATAGTAATGATATATAATAACATCTTATTTTGATTGGAAACTAGTAATTAGTGTGATGTGTCTAGTCCTTTCTTTGGTGTCGGCTGAATTCTATCAGTCAGGTTTGCAATGTTGATCATGTAAATTTACACACAACAATGTCGTACTTGCAAGGATCAACATGATTTTTGTTGACAGAGACGCATGTTAATAAACGATGTTCAGAAGTTCCCCGCGGGTTCGAATCCTTCAAGGTTGCAGATACGCCTTGCTGACTGGTAACTGCCAACTAGCATGAAACCTAGGTCCAAGTCTTCCTGCCGATTATCTCCAACCATCTAATATGCTCAAATCAATGTGCACCGTGATGGTGAGCTACCTAGAATGGTGGCCACATTGCAAACCAGACTGATAGAATTCAGTCTGAACCAAACAAAGGACTAGATACATCACACCAGTTTCTATTGTTCAATCAAAGCATCCAGTACAGTCCCACAGGAGGTCAATCGCGAACCCAAATAGCTCAATGGTAAAGTCTGTGAATACAGCGGGTTTGAAGCTCAGAAGGGACATGAGTTCCTTCAAGCTGGTTGCAGATACGCCTTGCTGACTGGTGAGTGCCAACTAGCACTAAATCTAGGTCAGGCAAGGCTTCCTGTCGATCGTCTCCAACCATTAAATAAATTCTTAAATATATAACAATCATAAATAGTCTCAATAAAGAATTACACTATTTTATTATTATTATTAATGATACTAATATGACTTACTCAGATACTTCAGATGTACAATCACCACCTTCTGTAGATTTAATTAATTTAGGCAATTTTGTTGTATTCATATTTGTATTTGTATGTGTAGATGTCTTTATATTATTATTATGATTCAATTGTTTTTTGGTAAAAAGATTAATTTTATCACTCTTATCATGAAGTATTGTATTTCTGCTTGTTTTACTGTTACGCTTTAGAGCATAATAAATTTGACTGGGTTTCAATTGGCTATGCTGTTGTTGCTGATGCTGATTGGTTAGTTCAGATTTTGTTTTACTATTACTACTTTGACTACTTATATCCTCAGCACTATTGTTATTATTATTATTACTGTCATCATTGATAAAATTATTATTATTATTATAATTCTTATTGGTGTGATTCGTAATCCCACTCATATTGATATTTCCAGAGTTAGCCGTATTGTCATGTTTATTAGTGGTGAATGGCTTGTTGACAGAGGCAGTTTCATGTGTCGCTTTCTGTTTGTCTCGAATGATTTTTGATGAAGGCATGGGTGAATGGTTTTTTTAAATTTGTGTTATTTTTTGTATTGAGAAATCAGTGCCTCTATGTTTCTCTCAGTCTGTCTGTTTGTCATAGACTCAGGGAAATTTAGAAAATTAGAACCAGAACCAACATGTACCCATTGTGTGTTTCCTAGGTGAAGACATAGCAAAAACAGAAGAATAAAAGATGACGATGGCTAAAAACACATTTGTTTCAATCATTCAAGCATATATGAATTTAATCTACAAAAATATATTAATTGGTTGCATGGAGGATTTCATCATGAGCTGACATTGGTTTGAGAACCACTGGAAAACCAGCCAGGGAGTACTGGACAGCTGTTTCGTCCTAGTTTGGGGCTCTTCATCAGTATGCACCCACTGGGGTTCGAACTCAGGACCTTCTGGGTACAGCAGGTGGAAGATGAGGCAGGAACTCATCGAAGAAGACATTGCGAAATGGTCGCGCTATGTTGAATTGGCAGAAGTTAGAATTCAAGGACCATTGGATCGGGTCCCAGTGGCTCAATGGTCTTCGAGCTCGCCTTGTAACCAGAAGGTCCTGAGTTCGAACCCCGGTGGATGCGTACTGCTGAAGAGTCCCAAACTAGTACCTGGTTGGTTTTCCAATGGTTCACTAACTGATGTCAGCTCATGATGAAATCCTCAACAATCAAACAAATCCCTACAAAACCAATACTTGAATATTAATTGGTTCTTAAATATTTGAAGTAATGATCGTTGAGAACGGATATCGTTTGAAGTTTTCCAACTCGTGTGGAGATCATTTAGTTTCACAGCCTACAGTTTATTTGATTGCAGACAAAGAGGCTTGCATTAATCGACCTTAAAGTGAGGACATAAATAGTAAGATTTTAATTCTGTCATTCGTATAGTTAATTTTTCAAACCAACTTATAATAATCGGTAGAGCTAAAAATATACTTCACTGCAAGTCTCAGCAGTGCGTAAGTGATGATGTCACATATGCCAGTTGACATGTCTTCGCTGGCAGACATGCATAGTGAGGAGTAATTGATCTCTCCATGCCTGGAACTGTGAAGCCTAGAGAAACTCTTTTGACTGACAAGCAATCTCATTTATAGTAAAACACTTAATTCAGGTGAATCACGAGAGTGATGTTAAAACGGCTTCCAGTCAGTGGGGAGTTTACTGAAATATGTTGAGGGGACAACTATGCGTAAAATTAACCTTCCCCACCCCGCACACCTTGTGTGCACTAAAACAATTTATTATTACCCCTACCTTGGTAATCATTATCTGATTGTATTGTTAAGAGTACTGTTGACCCTAAGCTATATTTCTCCACTTCTGGCTTTCAGAGTGGAATATAAGGCTCCCAACTTTTAACTTTGAAGTATCAGTAGCATTAGTGTTTTTACGGTTTGAATTGCTAACCTCACGCCTGACCCTCCCCTTTCTCTTTGAGTACTGCTTGCTAGCAAACTAAGTGAGGTTTGCGTGTAGGGGTGTATGTTATTTGTCATATGGAAAAGACGTCAATTCACATGTGATAAACCTGGAAATCCATTTTTTAAAGGTCATGGAGGTTCATAGATATTTTCGTTGTTTTTTCATCTGTCTTGCTTCATTAGTGTTTGCCATATAGGTGATACGTCTATGCCTTTCCTCATATTGACTGCATTCGATGTGGTTAAAATACTCAAGAGGTCAACCTTTCTTCACGTGAATGAAAGCCTCATCCTAGAATTTCGACATTGTCGAAATCAATCTTATGTCTGCTGTCAATAGCATGCATTGCTGTAGCTGATCTGTTTTCTAGACTTTTTAATTCTACTTCATTTCTAGGTGGACGTTTCGTGTACACTCTATGTCCATTCGCTCTAACCTTCACCTGTGTATTGCTCTCCCCTAAATAGCAGGCTTCACATTCTCAACACTTTATCCTATAGACACAGTTGTTCTGCATCCTTTTGGGAAGCATATCTTTGACATTCATCAAAGCTTCCCTTAGAGAATTAGAGAGCTTCGAATAGACTTTAATATTATTTGCAATTAATAGTGTTCTCTGAGCTGGTTGGTTTAGTTGCGGAGTTTTCGTCGTCCTTCTGGGCAACATCTTCAGAGCAATATTTAGCACAAAGGGAAATGATTTAAATTTTTCATGAGTGATATATTTAATATTATTATATTATATAATATTATTTAACATAATATTTTCTATAGTTGGTTTGTAAGGATTAAATTTGTTTTTGCGAGTTTGACCACGAATTGATATCATTTAGAGAACCATTGAAAACAAGCTGAGAGTACTGGACAGCTGTTTCATCCCACTAGTTTGGGAATCATCGACAGTACACATCCACTGCCAGGGTTCGAACCAAGGACCTTCCGGTTACAAGGCAAGCTCGTATACTATTCAGCTACTGGGACCCGATTCAATGGCTAGCTCATGAATTCTAACTCCTACCAATTCGTGATTTTAGCGTGACCTGCAACGAATATCATCGGTCGGACATCCATCCTCACACTTGACTGAATGGACCTCACTGGTCACGACTTCTCACTAGAACTCAAGGGAACTCCATCCTGTGGCAAGTCACTAGCGAGCATCAAGTTAATTTTCTATAATTTGGTTTGTAAGGGTTAGCTATGTTTATACGAGTTGATCACCAAACTATAGAAAATTACAAGGTTTCATCATGAGCTGAAATTGGTTGGAGAACCATTGGAAAACCTGGGAGTACTGGACAGCTGTTTCGTCCTAGGTTGGGACTCTTCAGTAGTACGCACCCATTGGGGTTCGAAGCCAGGACCTTTTGGTTACAAGGCCACTGGGAACTGATCCAATGGCCAGTACATGAATTTTAACTTCTGCCAATTCATGATATAGCGCAACCGCTAGCCAATGTCTTCGGCGAGTATTTGTCCTCACACCCGACCTGCTGCAGCCTACTGGTCACGACTTCCCACTGGAACCCCAGGTAACTACCTACCTGAATAGGACCAGTTGCCAGTGAGCATCTCATTGATATTCAATTATTGGTTTGTAGGGATTTGCTTGATTGGTTACAGGGTTTCATCATGAGCTGACATTTGTCCCAGTGGCCTAATGGTATACGAGCTCGCCTTGTAACCATATGGTCTTGGGTTCGAACCCCGGTGGGTGCGTACTGATGAAGAGTCCCAAACTAAGACGAAACAACTGTCCAGTACCCACAGGTTTTCTTATGGTTCTCCAACCAATGTCAGCTCATGATGAAACCCTGTAACCAGTCAACCAAATCCCTACAAATCAATACTTGAATATAGAAAATTAATCTGATGCTCGCTAGTGACTTGATGCAGGATGGAGTTTCCTTGAGTTCTAGTGAGAAGTCGTGACCAGTGAGGTCCAATTAGATGTCACGTGTTTTGATGGATGTCCCACCAACGACAATGGTTGGGGTTGCGCTAAATCATGAATTGGTAGAAGTTAGAATTCATAGGTTGGCCATTCAATCATATACCAGTGGCTGAATGGTTTACAAGCTTGCCTTGTAACCGGAAGGTCTTGGGTTCGAATCCCAGTCGGTGCCTACCGCCGACGATTCCCAAACTAGGATGAAACAGCAGCTGTCCAGTACTCCCTGCTTGTTTTCAATGGTTCTCTAACTGATATCAATCCGTGGTCAACTCGTAAAAATATTAATTATAATCCTTAACTGACACACTGATCCTGATTGATTACTATTCACAAACCTATCATCACTAGTATCATTGATATAAGAATAAAACTTGTGCACTGTGTTCGAGTGTAATTCCATTATGGGTAAATTTTGTTTTGATAAAGTCTCACAGTGTTATACAGTAAGTTATATTTACTGATGACAACGTTTCGAGCACAATTTATCGCTGCTCATAATCATATCATCACTAGATTGATAAGTTTCGCTTTGCCTCGTATTATAAGCCTTATATAAACATATTAGAGTAGAGCTATAGATCAACAGCTAATTGAAAAGTAAGTATATATTTCTTCTCTCAGTCCTGCTGTCTTCTAAATGTCTAAGTGGAGATTGTGTTTCCACAGTCTGAAATCGTGTATTAGCAAGAGGTGTATATATAGATGAGAAAGTGACACATTTTACCAGTAAAGAAAAAAATAAGCTACGTGTATAGATTGACAGATGTTTTAAAACACTTATGTTTTCTAATTTTTTTAAACAAGCCAAAAAAGTAGTATATCACCCAATTTTATTTGACAACATTTTCAAGGCTGTTTAAAACAAACTTTCTTCTTTGGAAATGCATAGTTTGATGATGGTGAGGGAGAAAGTGAAGTACACAAATGGTCACGTACATATATATTTGCTCATAATTACACAAGCACACATGCACGCACGCACGCACGCATGCACAAACACATACATACATACATCACAAACACAGACATGTACACGCATATAAAAAGCTGGTGCTTCAAAATTTGTCTACGTGGCGGCTACTTCACTTTTTGGAGGAATGATTTTTTCTACTAGATATTTATTATTACCAAACATTCAGTATAATTAATACTGATAGTTATGAAAAAAGAGAACAAAACGAATAATGTTGACGCAAAAAGAAAAAGATAATGTGTGACAATCGTTTAATTGTCACCTTCAAAACTGCGCCTATTTTTAGGTGGGAATGATTTTGAATTCATTCAGTCACATACTACTGATCAGGTGATTTAAGTAGTTGGAGAAAAAAGACATCAACTGGTAATGCTTGTTAGTCAAATCGAATCATATATATATATTAAATCAGTAAAATTTGATGATGTTGCTGTGGTTCTGGTCCCTCGGCTTTTTTGTCAACCGAAAGATGCAACACCTAAGAAACAGAACAACATCATCTACAAGATAAATTGCAGAAAGCCTGTGAAAACATTACATAAGTCAAAGTGGATGCCTTGCACATAGACTGGCCGTCAAAAGACATAATATCCAACCCCCCCTCACGGATGTCAGTGCACGGAGACAACCACAGAGACCAATTCGC